CGGGGGGTGAGGCAGCCCGGGGGGGGGGGGGGGGAGAGGAGAAGGGCGGGAACTGACCCCACCAGGCGTCCAATGTTGGCCAGACTTTGGATTTAACTCTTATGCAAATGATGCCACCTCCTGCAGCACAGCGCCCCCTAGCGCACTGGGATGCAGGGGAGAGCACCCCCTACTGGTCTCCCCAGCTCTCTGCCTGTGACACCGGTGCCCTGCTGGGACCTGGGGGTCAGCACAGGCTTCAAGAAGAGCCCCCTACCCTTCAGCCCTGCACCCCATTGCGCCTCACTAGGGACCCACTCTTATGCAAATGATGCCACCTCCTGCAGCACAGCGCCCCCTAGCGCACTGGGATGCAGGGGAGAGCACCCCCTACTGGTCTCCCCAGCTCTCTGCCTGTGACACCGGTGCCCTGCTGGGACCTGGGGGTCAGCACAGGCTTCAAGAAGAGCCCCCTACCCTTCAGCCCTGCACCCCATTGCGCCTCACTAGGGACCCACACTTCCCTCCCCTGCAGCCCAGCCCGGCCACTCCCTGCCTGGACTCACAGATCGCGATGCAATCGGCATCCCCGACTCGTCCACTGGGCCAATCCCGTCATACTTCACCCATCGCTTGTCCTTTCTCTTGCTGTCCTTGGTCCAGGTGGCTGACCAGGGGGCTGGGCGGGGTGCAGGTGGGGGGCCATGCTGCAGGGGGCTCAGTGCTGACCCGGCTGGGGGGAGAGGGACAGGCACCACCTGGGCACTTGGCTTCTTCATTTCTTTGGCAGGCCAGGTCTGGTACCAGTCACTCACTGCAGACAGGGCGGGGGGAGAGACCCAGAGAGTTTCAGGCCATGGCAGTCAAAGATTTATGGGTCGTGCTGTGCCAGAAGGCCTGGGTGTTGAGCACAATAGTAACCCCATTGATAGCAGGGCCCATGCCCCCAGGACAGACACCCAGGCTGCCAGACAGACTGCCACAGCAAGGCTCCACGGAGCCAGGGTGCTATTTTCAATGGAAGACTGAAGTAAGGACAGATGAATAAGACGGGGACTGTTCAGCATAGAAAAGAGGAGACTGATGGGAGACAGGATCACGGTCTATAACAGTGTTTATAGACACACACACAGTCGGAGGTGTGCTACGGAGAGAAAAGAATTCCAAATGGCCCTTAAAGGGACAAGCCTCAATTTTTTTTATTTTTTTTTGCACAACAACTTTTCCCTGGCGGCTTTTTTTTTTTCTGAACAAAATAATCCTTGGTGTTCCCCATAAAAAAAAATATCTTTTGGTGTTCCTCGGTCTCAAAAAGTTTAAGAAACACTGGTCTATAACATCATGCCTAGTGTGGAGAAAGTGAATAGGGAAAAGTTATTTACTTGTTCCCACGACTCAACAACCGGGGGTCACCAAATGAAATTAATAGGTGGCAGGTTTAAAACAGGGATGTAAAATCCCGGTTAATCAGTTAAACATTAGGTGACCTAATGTTTAACCAGTTAACCAACTAAAGCGGGATCCAGGCTGGGGACCCCTCCAACCCAGCAGCAGCAGCCCCCAGCCTGCGGGACTCCTACCCCCCAGTCCCATGCTGGGACTGGGACTGGGGTTGGGAGCCAGCTCCCAGCCCCTGCATGGGGATGGGGGTTGCCATCAGCTCTCAGCCCCTGCCAGAGCTCAAAGCGGGCCCCCTGCAAGGCCGAGGCAGCCCCTTCCCATGGCAGGCGGGAAGCTGCTCCACATCCCTTCAGTTAACGGTTAACCAAAACTGGTAGGCAGCACCCATTAACTGGTTAACCTTTCATATCCCTAGTTTAACACAAACCAAAGGCAGTAGTTCTTCACACAGTGCACAGTCAACCTGTGGAACTCCTTGCCAGAGGATGTAGTGAAGACCAGGACATCAGTAGGGTTCAGAAAAGAGCTAGATAAATTCCAGGAGGGCAGGTCCATCAACGGCTGTTAGCCAGGACTGGTGGGAATGGTGTTTGCCAGAAGCTGGGAAGGGGCGACAGAGGAGGGACCACTTGATGATTCTCTGTTCGGTTCACTGCCTCTGGGGCCCCTGGTGCTGGCCACTGTGGGCAGACGGGACACTGGGCTGGATGGACCTTTGCTCTGACCCCATCGGGCCATTCTGACGTCCTTATAAGATTTCACTAGCGACTAGGGGGGCTAATCCAGAGCCTTGCGGGCCCTGCTCTGGGGCACTCGACACGGTGAGCCACGGTGAGCCGACCGGTGGCGATGGGCTGTTCCAGATGGGGACATGCCCAGACCCCCCGACTGCCCGGGACTACCCAGCCCGAGACGGGGGCACGTCCGTCCTGGCACTTAGGGGCCACACCAGCCCACTCCCCCAGGCTGCTCTCAGCTTGGTCAGTCAGGGCTGGCCAGGGGGAGGAGCTGGGCCTGGATTTTTGTGTCTCCGCTTGTCAGTGGCAGCACGCTGCCCGTGAGAACGCTCTGTCCTCCCCCCCCCCTTTTGGGGGGACCTCCAGCTTGCACCTTCGCCTGCTGCTGGGGGGATGCACGGAGACAGCTGCACCTTGAGAGCTGGGGTCCGGCCGCCCCATGGTCCCCAGAAACGGCACTGGCTGGAAAGGGCTTTTGAGCCAGGAGGGGTCTCACAAGTCTCCTTGCCAGGCCCCACGGTCTATGGGGCACGGTCCTGGCTGGCATTACCTGAGCTCCCGGGGGCTGTTCTCCTCGGCTCGGTGGCGCCGTTGCACGCTAGGCGGGGAGCCGTGTCATAGAACTCAAAGTTCAGGGTGTTGGAGCCACAGTTACGGATCACGGTCACCTGGGGGGGAGGGGGGGAGGGAAGCAACGTGGTTTTGCTGGGCAGGGCGCAGCGGGCACCAAGGAGTCAGGGTGCAGCGCCCAGTGGATCTCAGCAGGCTGGGGTTGATGAGGGGCACCAGAGTCACAGCCCGCTGGGAACTGGAGAGCAGCTGCTGCGGTGACAGGGAGAGGGGCAACATTTGCCTCAGTTTCCCTTGTGATTTTGAAGCTAGCCGCACATAACAACACGTTATGGAGTCTGGCCTTAGCAGGAGGCGGAACGTGTCTCCCACCTGCCCACACGGGCCCCAACACGGCACAGCAAAGAGACTCCCCCTAGAGCATCCCGCTCCCAGGTCACCGGTTCAACTCCAGCCTCGGCTGGCCGGCACCGAAACCCATCACTGTCCAATGACCGCTTGGCGGCATAGAGAGGGTCTCAGAGCAGTTCCCAGAGGGCAAAGTACCTACGATACCAAATCAACCGTCCCCTTGGTGCTGGTCAGCCCCCTTGTGGGCAGCCCAGGGCCGAATGGGCCTGTGGGAGGCATGCAGGCTATGTGGGACCGGCGGTGGGTCAGTCTCCAGGCTGACTTTGGGGCAGAGACCCTGCAGGGACCCCAGGGCTTTTCTCCAGGCAGAGCAGGGCTCCACTCACCCGCCGCGGCCTGTGCTGCAGCAGGGCCCCTGGGGCCGGCAGAGCGGTCGTGGCTGCGGGGGCAGCAGGAAGGAACTCCCTCTTCTGGAGGTGCGATGGGACGGAGTCCTGCAAGCTGAGGCCTCGGGTCGCATGGGGGTTCAGGCAGGCCCCGGAGGGAGAGGAGAGACTGGAGGGGAAGCAGCTGCTGTCCCCTGCCCTGGGTCTGTCCCGCAGGGGGGGAGCCCCAGGTGCCCTGAATGTCCCCTGCAGAGGAGAGAGAAGAGGCTGAAGAAACTCTTCTGCTGGGCAGGTTCTGGTACCTGACTCCGCTGGGCCACTCCAGAGCCAATCCTGCCTCCCAAACTGCAGGACCTGCTCCATCCCTGGGACGGCTGGTGTTGGGTGGGGAGAGGGGACAGGACTCAAACCCACCACCCGGCGCCCCCGAGGTGAGTGCCCTAGCCTGCCCCCTGTGTGAGGGGCAGGAGTTGAGAAGAGGAGACTGATAGAGCCAGGTGCTGGGCATTTCTAATACCACGTGCCAATCTCCGCGGATGCCCCTCAGCCCTGCCAGGCCAGCCCTGGGTCCCCAGGCCCTTGGAGGTCCCTCAGCCCCCACCCTCAGCCCCTCCTACCCGGCGCCCCCGAGGTGAGTGCCCTAGCCTGCCCCCTGTGTGAGGGGCAGGAGTTGAGAAGAGGAGACTGATAGAGCCAGGTGCTGGGCATTTCTAATACCACGTGCCAATCTCCGCGGATGCCCCTCAGCCCTGCCAGGCCAGCCCTGGGTCCCCAGGCCCTTGGAGGTCCCTCAGCCCCCACCCTCAGCCCCTCCTGCCATTTGCGGCGGGGAGGCGAGACCTCAGGCAGGTACGGTGTGGTGGTAACACACAGGCAAACCGGGACTCCATGGCAGAGCCGGGCCTAGAACCCACGCATCCTGACGCCCAGGCCTAGTAGAGCCTATGTGGTCCCACTCCCCTGGCCAGCAAAAGATTGTTCCTAGCAGCTGGCTCTAGCGTCCCTGGCTCCAGCAGTGGGGTTTCCCATGCTCCCCGGGGCCCGCCGCCTGCTGGTGCAGCTGCGGCGGGGAGGCGAGACCTCAGGCAGGTACGGTGTGGTGGTAACACACAGGCAAACCGGGACTCCATGGCAGAGCCGGGCCTAGAACCCACGCATCCTGACGCCCAGGCCTAGTAGAGCCTATGTGGTCCCACTCCCCTGGCCAGCAAAAGATTGTTCCTAGCAGCTGGCTCTAGCGTCCCTGGCTCCAGCAGTGGGGTTTCCCATGCTCCCCGGGGCCCGCCGCGAAGGGAAACACAACACCAGCTCCGAGGAGCCGACGCCTTACGCTCCGGGGCTGCAGCGTCCCAGATCCGGGTGCCTGGAACGCCATCGCTGTCTCATGCCTCTCAGCTGCCCGGGGGCACGGGGCGGGGCGGAGCCGGGAGGCCAGC